GATATGTCACAGAGCAGAAGCAGAACGGCACAATTTCATTTTAATGCACAACGGAAACCGTTTTAACGCTGCAAGTATCTTGCATCACTACCTACAGGCCCAAAATATCACCACTTTGGGGAGGCCCACTTGCAGCCTGGACCTGAATCCTATCGAACATGTTTTGAATCAAGTGGAACCAACCAAAACACCACTTTGGATGAGCTGGAAATCGCTCTTTGAGAAAAGTAGGAGCGATTGTCTCAAGAAAATGTCAGGAGGCTCATTAGAACCATGCCCCAGCAAAAAAAATTACAAGCTCACAAAGATGTGAGTCTTTAATTGTTTTGAGGAGTGTATTTAGGAACTTCTAGTCCGATTAAAAAAAAAAGTGCTGGATAGAGAAATTGAGAACGCATCAAATGAGGTATCACAAGGCTAATCTTTCTATCTGAAAGTAAAAAATTAATAGCGCTCCGGTTATAAATGTTTCTGGTTGCAATTTGTCATTTACCACCCAATTGATTATTGTTTGTTTCGTTTGCTGAATTTTTGTTTCTTTTTCTCGATATTTCTTGAGATCTTCTAACCCAGAGGTGTCAAACTCAATTTTGCAGAGGGTTATATATTAAATATAGAATGTAAAGGCGGGCCAGATTTTACTTATTTCAATTACATTTTACTTATTCAATTATATAGTATATAATATACGGTTGTTGAAAATTATATCAAAGTTATAAAAGAGAGTAATTATTTTGAGCTCGGCCCAACAATTATGGATATCACACGCGCACGATACAAACGAATGCACAATATCTTCACAATCACTACTTCGCAGTACAACTAGAAACCTTTTCCGACCGTATCGCTTCGATTACTCGACTCAACAGACTTAGGTCCCCCCCATGCCTCCTCCCGGGTTGAGTGCCCTGAAGTAGAAGATTCCCCACTACTACCCCACTCCGTCCACCCCCGCTCTCCGAGCGGTCCTCAACTTACTGATGGGCACTTCAGCAAGATTGACATCTGACCTCTTTTGGTCGAAAGTCATCCTTTAGGTGCTATTCTTTCGCGATCGATAAAAATGTTTTGTCATGACTATTCCTAACTGAATTTTTGCATGAGGGCCCCCAAAAACTAACCGGCGGCTATTGTTATTAGCGTCGAGCGTTCCTCAGTGAATCTAAGGATAATTGAATCGCGGTCGAGTTGTTCTGCGGTGAACTTGCTGAAAGAAAGTCTGATTATTATGCTCACCCGAGTCGACTGACGGCGATACGTGGGGGTTGTCGTAGATTCTGTTTCGTCGGCCTTGGGTGTTTGTCCCTTTCTCGGAACCCAGGGATATCCATGTTCAACGCATCCTGTAGATCGCGTAGCGCTGGGTTGTTGTGCGATCTGATTCTATCGAACACGCTTTCTGCGTGTTCTCTCATATACACGTCCACATATTGCGTGTCCAGGTCTGAGTCTCTGTATATAAATCTATTGGGGATGTAGTACGGTGTGTTCACGGCGGCCCTTACGCTTGCGTTCATGAACGACTGTATCCTCTTCCAGTATGTCTATGCGCACTGGCCCCAGGTAGTGCATGCGTAGAGTATTATGGGCATGAGAACGGTTTTGATCATCAGCAACTTCACTTTCAACCCCATGTTGCTTCTGCGTCCTATGATTGGTGCCAGCCGTTGTCTGGCGTGTCTGGCCATTCCAATTCTCTGCCGTACATGAGACTGAAATGTTAATCTCCTGTCTAAGATGACCCCCAGGTATGTAGCTTTGTCGGTCCACGGAATCTCTTGTCCGTTGAAGTTGACGTTGCCTTCCGGTTCTACAAAACTGCGAGTGAACAGTATCGCCTGACTCTTGTCAGGGTTTATTTTGATCTTTCACAGGTTGGCCCACTCCTTTAATCTGCCTGTTGTTGCAAGTACCTTGTGACATGTACTTGGCTCGTGGATCTCGCCAGCAGGGCCGTGTCGTCCGCGTAGAGCGCCAACTTGTTAAAGTTGTTCTCTGGCTTGGGCACGTCCGCTGTGTATATGGAGAAGAGGTGTGGCGAAAGAACTGCTCCTTGCGGGACTCCTACTTCCAGTAGTCGAACTGTTGATAATTCGTCTCCTACTCTGCAACGGCATCGTCTGTCAGCTAGAAAAGACTGAATTAATCTTACCATTGGTTTTGAATATCCGAAATCGCTCATTTTGGTCAGTAGTCCGTCATGCCAAACTCTGTCGAACGCCTTGGAGACGTCTAAGAAGATAGCTCCGGTGTTGTGTCCTTTTCTGCCGAGGTTGAAGCCCTCGGTCGCAAGGTCTACTACCCTCAGGACTTGTAGCTCTGTCAAGTGTTCCGATCTAAAACCGAATTGCTCATACGGGAGGATTCCTAGTTCTCTGGTTTGGTTTTCGAGTCTCTTCAAGATGACACGCTCCGCCACTTTGCTTATGGAAGGAAGTAAGCTAATTGGCCTGTGATTGTCTGGGAACAGGTGGTTCTTCTTGGGCTTCGGGATGTGGATAACCGTTGCCTCTTTGAACAGGTACGGGAAGTGCTGCAATCTGAGTATAGCATTTATGATAGCAGTTAGGGCTGATATACCCTTGCGCGGTAGTACTTTCAGTGCCCGGTTTGTTATGTTGTCCAGGCCTGGTGATTCCGAGTGGATAGACGTCTTAGTATGTCTTTCACTTCCTCGGGAGATGTCGGGGAGACTCACGTCACGCCGACGCCCTCCGCTTGTTGCTAAGAGATGGCGTTACTGTCTATGGTTGAGTTGTTTACTAGAACTAACTAACCTAACCTAACTAACACTCTCTCGCTTGTTTAGGAACGCGCTTCTTTCTGTGAAACATTGCGATCGCGGGTCGTATATTTGACACGACTGTTCTAACATTTTCCCTTATGGAGAGTCAGATGTGTTGGTGTGTAATTGGCAATGTATGGATCAAAATACTATTTATACAGCAAATAAAGTCATGCAATAAAAAGTGGCAAGTATAACCTTTTTTTCTCGTTGCAGAGCCCTCAGGATGGACGAACTTATTGAAGTTCGAAACGTCATCAATAAAGAAACAGGTTTCTTTACAAAATCTAACTGATCCTATCTCAAAATAGTTGTTTTGAAAAATTTGTGCATCTGTAAAACTTTATTGTACTTCGACATTGTATATCACAACAATCTTCTCTCATTCCGCAACTAATGCACTCTCCCATCATAAGATAACCCAGAAAATTCCCGTGTCCGATAATGCATCTTCACCGTGGTCAACGGTCTCATAACCATAAAGCCGAGTTCTAGCCACCCGGCAAAAAAGCAACTCATTAGCGGATGGTCCATTTAGCACTGCTGCTTTCCACAAAGAAGCCGCTGAAAACTCGCTAGCAAACCTTTCATCGAATTAACCATCATCGTAGCTCACTTCCCATGAGGAGAGATTCCGCAGAGATAAGAAGAATTAGAAAGCTGTTCGTTGCATCTGCGGATGCGGTTTTTAAACGTCGAGCGAGCTCGTAGAACAGATTTATTAGACGTTAATCAGAACAGGGCGTCCTAGGATGAGCTTTATGTATACGAGATAGGTCATAGTGGAACAAAGAATAAAACTAAACAAACTTAGGGGTGTGAAGGGGGCAAAATTGAATTTGCAGTTGAGAAAACAAGGAGAAGAAGTTTTTGGAGTAAAAAACAATATGACTATCTTGAAAATTAGATATTTGGTAATTGACATTTTCTTTTATTACCATCAACACGATTCTGACTAACTTCAAACGGACAGAGGTATTTTAAACTCCGTACACTCATCAAGAATAGATGGCAATACGATAATTTCATAAGTTCATCTCATTATCCTGATCAGGATCGCCAGGATTGAATAATTTCCTCACACAGTCACTGTGTGAGAGCAAAAGAGGCAACCATACTATCTGTTCATGCGTATATATTTTATATTGAAACAAATGGACTTGAAACAGTCAAACTGAAAAAATTAGTTACATCAAGCCAAAGGACTTATTATCAGTGCTGAACACAATCTTAAATTAGTTTCGAATTATTTTCAATTTTTTAGTTTATGTTGCTATTGAAGCGTGTCTTTTCAGTTGTTTGAACATTAATTTGTTCTATTAGAATAAATTAAGTACATGAATGAAATAGAAAAAATAGTTAAATATGAAAAAAATCGTTTGGTGAATAAATTTGCAATACTAGATACTCGTAGTTATGTGAGAAAATACGAAAATTCCAGTTTATCATCACTTGACAATTCTAAAATTTCACATATTATTACAAAGATTACATAATGTTCGAAAATTATGAGCTACATCAAATATTTATTTGATTCGCAGATCAACGTAAGACATTCACATAAGAAATCATGAAGAAAGACATAAATTGTTTTATATCATGTTTTATATCACATGAACTACCATACCCGCATTAGAAATCATGTTAAAGATTACAAACTATTTGAGAAATAGAAATATCATAAAGAATCTGAGAATTAGTAAGTGCTCGATATAATTACTACGATTTTGAAGGGTATGTGAGATATCATTGACATTTTTATTCTTTTGAAAGACCTATTCTGATACTTTGATTCGGTTTGTCTACTCAGATTCAGAAAAAATAAAAAAATGATGTGAATCGAATATGCTATCGTTGAACGTTTCTAGAACAAATCTGATACCATTCAAGTGGGACTTAACAAGTAATACTAGGGGAACACATGATTCAAAGTAAGCCTGTAACTAAATTTTTTGGTATATAGCATTGAATTGTTACAACTTTTTTCAACGTCACTTGACATTTTTCAAGAAAGTTTCTAAGCTACATTTTGAATTGAAAGAATCTTTATCTGCAGGTGTATGGATTTTTATCCAAAAGATGCTTCTTGCCATAATACGAGTATGTTAAGTAACAATTGAATATCGCTAACTACTGCCTTCCGAATAATAGCATGCATCTTGTGAGAAACCAACTTGAGAACCCGTCATTAAATCCCTCAATAAACGTCACTCACATCCAAGTGCCGTTGAGAGGCGGTCTGCGAGCAGCTCCCGTAGAATTTATGGAGAAGAGACTCAGCACGACGTAGTAGAAAAACTGCATCGCGGCCGCTGCACTAGATTTCCTCCTGAATTTCTCAGGCAACTGCATTTTTCTGAAACAAAAACGAGAGCTCGTTAAGTTCGTGGTATCAGCGAATATGGCGAAGATCAAAAAACGGTTCGATAGGGAGATAATTGGGTATATTTGTTGTGTGGACAGTGACATGGTACGGTGGATGCGAGATGGTTAGTTTTTGGGAGAAATTGAATGGGAGATACGGAAGTTTTTTTGTCGCCATTACAATTTTTTTCGCTTTTTAGAACCTCGTTTATTTTTTTAAGTTGCTATTGGCAACAATAACAACTGGTCTTCCCAAGGAACATACCACGCCTGTTCAAATAATTGAGATGAATGTACAAATTGCGCGGGCTACGTAATGTAACAAATTAAAGAATTGACTGTCTTGAACCAATTTATTTCCAACAATATTTCACTAATAACAAACTAATTCATATTCAACACTCAGCAACTAACGCTTAATTTATTTCCACTATTTGAATTCCTTGTTTAACCGCTCGATTCACTTTCTGAACTCCCCCTTGAGTCGGGAAGCCGGACTTATATAGTGTAACGGTTCTTTCTCGAAATCTATAGTCGATGCAATACTCGACAAGAGTGAATGAACCAACTTGAGAAAGCTATAGTACTAGCGAAACATGTTGTGAGTTTGTGGAGATAAAATCGTGAGGTGTAGTTTTTGAAAATATATTCACATTTGTTTGTTCATGATGAATTTCATTAGTTCGGACTTCCAAAAATAATGAAAAAATGGCTGAAAATAACAATTATATTGAGCAAGACAATACGTTTCGATTGTTAGTATCCACAATTGTCTTCGAGTGATGACTGGACTTATTCCTCCGAGAGATGACTATTTATGGGTCATTCGAGTACTTTCACTTATCTCCGCTTTCCCTTTTCCGCTTCACCGGTTTAGTGGGAGATGACCGTTTGGCTGGAGTTGGCCATTTTTTGTTTGTTTATGGGTTTCCATATGTTGCGACTCTACGCTAGCTTGGCTGAATACATTGTTGGATAACATGTATGCGGCTTCTTTGAATTTCCTCCCAAACCAGTGTTCATCCCTGTGTATAATCTCAGCTTGGAACCAATATAATAACATTAATGAATGAAACATCTCACAAAAAAGTAAAAACGATGAGTTTCTTCATTAGAATTATTTAGGTAAAGGTCCTTGATAACATACAGTACGATCCAATGAAAGTGTCATTCTCATTTCATTAATTTTCAATCACCTAAATATCCAGAGTGGAGATTGCAATTCCAATGCAAATTCCGTCAATACTGGTCACAAATCATCTTCCTAAATTGTTTTTTTACCGTTACAGCAGTTAATCCTATACACAGTTTCTGCTTCCTTTCTAATTATTGTCTACATCCTCTTATTAATTGAATATCTTTTACAATCTGGTTAGTATTCGTATAATTATTTCTCATGATAGTCTTACATGAATAAAAAAAGTTTGAGGATTTCAATAATATTGCAAAGCTTTACTGCTGGATGGCATAAAAAAATCCTCGTTGGTTAGTAGATAATTCAACATATTACTTCACTCTTAATTAAAATATTCTTGAAATTAATTCACATCAATGTATAACCTAAAAGATTATGAACTGACCCACACAGAACTCAAATTATTTGAAACATGTTACATAGATTGTTGAAACTTCTTGAATAGCTAGGTAATAAAGACCTGACAAGAAAATGCTTTTCAAATATCTAGCAAAATCTATAACAGAATGAGAAAACCAAATCTGAAACTCTTTGCGGCCAAATATAAACAAAAAGGATTGTGGGAACTGTAACAGTGATTCATTTTCTGTTAAGGATCCTTCTCAGGGTCCGTCCATTGTTTCAAATAGTGGTTTAGTCACAAATTTATGAGCTTTGACTGACAGTTCAGCGGTAATTACCTATTTAATTGATAAAATGATTTAGACTTTCACGGCTGAAGTTTTCAGTGTCATTGCTTTTCGAGTTTGAAAGCCGTGGATTTTTGGAATTTCTTCCTGACGTTTCGCTGGCGCGAGTGGCTAGCTTCTTCAGAGGTTTAACCATCATGGCTTGCTGTCGATGACTACATTTTAGGCTTCGTAAAGCGTATTTATGCCTTGTTAGGTAATCAGATGTATTTGTACCTGTATTTGTATCTGTACTTGTACCTGCACTTGACCCTGGAACATTAACATTTTTGCTGTCTGTCGTCCTGTTCGTTATTCCAGAATTCCTTAAAATGGGGTTCTATATTCGATTGAGGTTCACCGCTTCTTCCTTTCTGTTGAAATTCTCCGTGTGTTTGTGATCTCTATTGCCTCCCGTACCAGTCGGCTGTGGTATCCCTGGTTGGGGGCAATTAGTTATGTGTTTTCAAGCAAAATTATGTGGTCTCCTTCACTAAGTGCGTGTTCTGCCACAGCTGACTTGTCCGTTTGGCCTAGTCTGCAGTTCCTTTTATGCACTTTTAGTCCTGTTCCCATGGATCGTTTGGTGGTTCCGATATATACCTTTCCACAAGTGCACAGTATGCGATAGACCCCCGCTGCTGATAATGGATCTCTTTTGTCTTTAGCCGACCTGTTTATAGCTTACATCTTCTGTATCACTTGAAATCGGATAAGTCAGGTTTGAAACATCAACATAATGGTGGAAAATTGCAGAGATTGGACAACTTCTGGAATATTAGATGGGCTGGAATTTTCGTAAAATAATACACAGATGGTACAACCCTAACCTTCAAATGACACGTGTACAAATTTCACAGCTATCGGACTATCAGTTTGTGGAATAGTTTCAGTGAAGCAACTTTTGTTATTTTGAAGTAAATGGATAAAAAAATCATTTATTGATGAAGCATTGCTTTTTCAGGTAAAAAAAAACTGTTGAGGCGATGGCTTGGCTCGATAAACTTTATTCGGACTTTGCACGAGGAAAATCGATATTGGTGCAGTTATAATAAAATAAAATTTTTGACATCTGTTTATAATGTGGTGTCCTTGGACAAGTGCTAATAGTAATAATGAGTGTGATAACAACGCAGACTTTTTTCAGTATAGTGATTCCAATAGCGATGGTGAACTATGCGAAAAAGAGATGAATTTGAATACTGAAATACAGAGAGTATGTTCCAATGTATATAAGATTCTACATCTCAAGTTTGATTTCGAGGAAAAAAAACTATTACAAGCAATATCAGATTTGGCCGAAATTCCTTTCTAAACTATACGTAAAATAGACAAAAACAAACCTTATGAACGCAAGACGCGATGTGATATAGGATTACCAAAAACTTTAGATGCTTATCTAATAAAATCATTGAGAAAACAATATACGACTGTTACAAAGCAATGAGATTCCTAGAGAAACTAGGATTGAGATTTAAAATAATAGATAAACGTCAATCACTTATGGAAAGCAGAAGAATAGTGGAATTGCATAACAAATACTTAGAACAAATAACTAAATATAGACAAGAATAACGGCAAATTTTCTATTTGAACGAAACTTGGTATGATCCTCACGACACAGTTAGGAAGGGGTGGACTGATGGTTTGAGAATGTGTACGCCCAACATGCCTGCAAACAAAGGATCGCGACTAATCATTGTTCATTGAGGAGGAAGTAAATGATGGGTTCCGAATTCTTTGAAATTATGTGGCAAAAAACTTAAGGACTGCAATGTTGACTATCATAAGAACATGGGAGCTGATATTTTTGAGCAATGGTTTGAAAACACATTGATCCCAAATTTGGATGCGAATAGTATAATAGTTCTTCACAACACTTCCTATCATTCGTGAAAGCTCATCAAAGTGCCGAATAAAAATTCGAGGAAAGATGAAATACAAACTTTTTCAATGGATAACAATTTGCATTTTGAAGATTACTATACCAAAAATCAACTACTTGGAGTTTAACAAACAAAAACATTTGAAAAAGTGTATGCCCTTGAGAGTATTACTGAAAAGTATGGACACACCATACTGAGACTTCCCCCCTATTTTTGTGTTTTCAATCCCATCGACTTGATTTGGGAAAAATTGAAACAAAGCATAATTTTCCAAAATTTGATAAGAAGGTAATAGAACTAATTAAAGAAGAAGTATCTAATATTACCGAAGAAGACTGGCAGAAAAGGAATAAAAAAGTTGTTTTAGTTGAAAAAGACTATATTATGGAGATTGGACACTTCCATATTACTGGTGGTAATAAATCCATTACTGATTTAAATGACGACAGTGATAGTGAAACAGAGAATATGGAAGAGAAATTATCAGTAGCTTTCGAACAAAGTGTATAATCAGAATTAATCATTGAATAACGAAATTCGTTAGCTCCCTAACTATATTATTAAAGGGGAGCTGTTGGAAAGTAGGTTACAATTTATCGTTTACTTGAATTATACCTCGGAGACATCTGAGGGTTGCTCGTAGGTAAGAAGCTGATTTCAACGATTTTTCCAACGAATAAATATCAAGCTAATTTTTTCTCCGCTCCGCCACTGCTAATCGCCGATAATCAGCATCGTTTGTAACAATCAATGTCATCGAAGAGATGCAGCTTTCCGCGGTCGCAATACCAAGTAATGGTTCTTTCGCGAATCGGCATATTGCCGTCCGAGTGTGACCGGGAACATTAAATCATTCTCGTAACCACGTTTCTAGCACCTTTGTGATTCCTCGGGGATTACCATAAATCGATCATTCGCGACGGTGGCTTTGGTTGCTGCGGAAATGTAACGAGAATGTTTTTTGGAGAAGGTTGCGGTACATATTTCAAGATAAATACTTGGGTGATCGTAAAACGAGTGTTTGTTAGCACACAAAAAAACTGGAGTGCTCTTCTGTGGTATTTACGTATGGATTTCTAAGAAGAATTCCACTACTAAGAAACTAGCCAACTTTGTTAACCATTTCAAATGTCAAACATAAGATCTGTCATGAGTATGAGGAAGAGATGCAGGTGTCACAGAGATATAATACACATACATCATAACCTATCTCTAGTTTCATTAAGAGACATAAAGATC